ATAAAAGTTCTAAACATGCTGTAAATCTGACAGTTTCAAAGCTGCTCGGCCGCTCCACCTCACTGTCTGCTACACTTGTAAAAAATCTCCAGCATCTGTTTCCCGTTACCTTGGAGATGTTGTTTCTTCAGTCTGTCCGGTTTACAGCAGACCGGCCCCATGGCTGAGTGAGCGGCGTGGGCAGGGGCAGGCGCTGCCTCCGGCCTAAAGCTAGAGCTCGCAAGAGTGGCTCCTCCGCCACCGCCGAGTCCGTTTGGAAGCAGATCAGTACGCAGGTAGCACCGATGGCCAGAACCTGCCAGCGAGGCATGCTCGATGCCAGCGGAAACTAAACCCCGTCAAATGACCCCAGCTTCTTACTCCTCACTCGTTTATTCTGCCCTTCCATTCACTCCTCTCTTCCTGTCTCTCACATTCAGCAGTGTGGGCAGCAGGTCCGTTCCCTCAGCCCCCCTGGGGAGAAGCAAATCCCTGAGGAGGAGTGTAACAAGTCTCTCTCTCTCTCTTTCTGAGTGTGCAGTATCTGGGAGATGGGCTGTCCTCCAGTCTTTGTCAAACAAACCCGTACACACACACACACACACCTACACACACACACACACACACACACATATATACAAAGAGAAATGGGGCAGTTTCTATCAGGCTCTGTGAGACAGATTCTTCCTTAAATGAGACAGAACAAAAAATATGTTACTGATACATATCCCTTTTACAAACTATTCTAGAAGTTTCTACAGCTGGTTGCAATTTCAGAAAACTTGATGCGTTGTTCTGTCTTGTGAAATGTCTCTTGAGCAATTTAACCAGCCAATATGTGACCATGTATTCTGTTGACAGAAAAGAAGCAAAAAAGAAAACCGAGCATATTTTTCATACCCGCTGCTATAAAATACCGTTAATGTGATGCATCTTGCATGCATCTGACTCATTTAAAGTCAGAGAGAATCAACATGGGACCCAACATGTAGCTGTGTTAATGTTACAAAGGTCAAAGTGTAAAGAGAACTGGTTCTTTACTTGCAGTCAGACATTTAGGGTTGCCATATGAGGCAAAATGGCTTTTCAAACACACAAAAATCCTATGTGTGTGTGTCTGTGTGTATTATTCATCCGTGGGTGATGTACTGTGTGAGCAACTAGTCCACATTAATGAATTGGCAGAAGCTATCACATTTGCACAGCCGCAATTGCGCGTGCTCTTGTCCAGGTGGCTTATCATTGCGCCGCACCGCCAGAATAGAGGGTTAATATCCCCGAGCCAGCCGCTAAGTTAAAAAAGAATAATTTAGGATATCTACTTATTTGCTTATTTCCCTCATGCCTGTAGACTTTAAGACAAGCTCAATTCAGACTCAGGCACATGACTGTTGAATCGGCTTTGTTTGGGTGTGCTGCTAGCTTTGTCTCGAGTACACACTGATTAAAAAAAAAAAAAACATAATAGAAGCCCAGTTTTTAATTGCAGGCATGCAGAACTGCTCATGTTATTTCAGACAAATGCCAAAAGGAATTTGGTGTTTTTTTCTGCTTCCACTCAAGTGACATTTAAGAGAGGGCTGTCTGCAGAGATGCAGGATAAATGCAGGCTAGTTATGACTTTGATGTTTCACATTTGTCAAACACTGAAAACCATTCAGCAGCACTTGCTTGCTTGCATGGGGGTTATTGTGTTGCTAGTATCTGCGTTGTGTCTACCTTTTCCAATACGGTTGGCTACTTAGCACCACAAAAAAGAATGTCCAGTGTGTGTGTGTGTGTGTCTGCGGCCAGACACACACACACACACAAACGTAGTCTTGCCAGAGCAGAGTCTATCAGTCAATGACATGACCCAGATGAAAAGCCAAGGTCTCTGGGCTCCCTTGAAAGACAAGGCTACTATTACAGCAGACAAAAGAGTGCTGAAAGTGAAGGAAAACCAGGCGCTGATTTATCAGCACTGATAGAAAAGTCCCCACCTTCATTTCTGGTCTGACCTCATATCGAGGGGTTACCAGTGCAGAAGTCCCAAACAGCTGCAGTGCGTGTGGGTTGCACCGCTGCTCGTGACTGCCTGTTGCAAACAGATGTAGTTCAAAACGGTTCACTTTTAAACCTTTACATACAAATGATTCATTTTCCAGCCCGAAATAAAAGGTGAACCTAATGTGAGGGAACATAGAGATCCATGCACTATTTAACCATTTTAAACAGGAGAGTGAATTTGGGCTGCAATCTGTTTGTCTTTTTCCCAAATCTGTTTGTGTACAAATCATAAAAACTGAAAAAACTATGGATACTGACAATAATTTGACCATAAAATATGTTTGATTCAGTTCATCTTTATTACATATTGGGCAATAATGCAGCCCCTCAGGTCATCTTCTACCTGAAACAAGCTTGTTAACCCTTCCCATTTAACCCTCTGAACTGTAAATCATCATAGGTGTTGATGCTAGCCCTACCCATACTCTAACCTCATATTCTGAGGTGATTGTTTTCTTTGTTCCCTGATTTCCAGCTCAACAAAAAATCTTTGATGATTATACTTTCTATATTTGCAAGTCCGTTAGAGGGTCTGAGTTATGTAAATTGTGTCATCGGGCGATGAGGGTCCGTGCAGACCACATGCTTCCTTGGTTTTTGTGACCACATAAACTTGTCTGCGCAGAATTTCCGTTACAATGGACAAACTACACATGCTCCCCGGGTGGTGGACTTCAAAGAAATATAACAGAAATTACTACTCTGCAATCAGGTCTCCAGCTGTCTGCAGTGGAGGAAAATCAAGGCTTTAGACTTCTGAAGGTTAAAGGTCCTGATCCTATGCTTTACAGGCCCAACTATCAACGTGGGAACATAAATCCCTCATGAGGCCACCCCACCCCTTTGAATCCAGGTTTCTTCTGATTGGCTGTCCCTCACAAAAAGAACATTTGAACTCCAGGTGGGTGAAGCTGTTGCGCTCACAACCAGATCTGTGTGGCTGATGTGAGCATCTTAGACACGTTTTCCTTACTGACATACAAAGACATCATACATTCATACACACACACACACACACACACAGAATCAGAATACTTTAATAATCCCTAAGGAAATTATGGCAAAATTATGGAAAGCATTTTCAGTGCTCAGAGTGAGTAGCAAAGTGCTATACTAGCCCATTTATATAGAATATGACTGAAAATTAGGAAACGCACAATAAAAATACCCTTAAAAAATTACCTGCCACCTGATTAAACAGATTAACATTTTTAGGTCTCTGCTCTATGGAAACGTATGCAAATGTAAATTTTACAAAAGACAAAAATCCTGTTTTTTGTATAACAGAGACAACAACATAGCAACACGGCACTCCACTGTATATGTTATAGTGGCGAATCACTGTTCAGTGAGCTCATTATTGTATGTTTCAAGAGGTACCGCTCTGTGAAATTGGCTGCACACATGGCCAGACACGTTAATGATTGCTTTAGAAATGAGAGGAAGCATCATTTTAACACAAGGTACAGACTCGAATCTCCAAGCCTATTCATTTCATACAAACGGGAGCGTGTAAACCTTCATCACACTAAGCCGATTACAGGCTGGAGGAAGAAAGAGCATGCTAACACGTGCTTCTGCGCTGAGCAGACAACAAATCTAACGTGATGTAAACAGCAGATGGAGTCGTCATAAATTATGGACAGGAGGGAAAACATAACTCATACAGACTGATCCCGATAAGCTTTTATTACAGTTAGAATCCGGCAGGATGTGGACTGTGGATCTTGAGTGACTAACTTCCACCCTCAGCATGTACACACCTAACATGAACTGAATTTCTTTGGAGTCTTGTGGTTCCTGCATCCTTCTAAATGATATTTGTCTCCTTTGACTGACCTCCTCCTCTCCTCTTTCTTTACACTCGTCTCCTGCCTTCTCTAGCTGTGCTTCTTACTCCTCTCACATGTCGGGGTTCTTAAGACTTTTCTGGGGTTCACACCCTTCTGCGATATTGACTGGCCTTAAACAAACCACATAGACACTCACAAGCCTGGCGGCCAGTCTAAACAGAAGAAAGGATCTCCAAGCAAACACCACAGAATGAGTAATAAACAGTCAAACTATTACAGAGGTCATTTGCAGTATGGATTAGAGAACCCGATTTAGAGATTATACCTGTAGCTCTGTGGCTGTTTAGTTGTGGCCCATTTTTATACGCATATCTTCTTAGATATGTCTTAATATACACTTTAAACTGCTGCTCAGAGATGGTATTATTTTAATCTGTTACACAAAAGGTTAAGTATTATGACAAACTTCACCTTCATGACAATAAAATGTGTTGTATTGATTGAGGGAAACCTTGGAAAGCCATGTGAGGTCAATCTAGCTAGACCAGTTGGCCGCTGGCAGCGCTTCTGTGTTTGAAGCATGACGGCTCACTAACAGTCCTGAAATCTACGGTCTCAGAGCAACAGCATGATGGAGGGCGAGGCTGTTCTCTGTCTTATTTCATGTTACTCTCACACAGTAATTGACTTTCATGCTCACACGCCACAAGCTAGAAATACAATACTGGAACTGCCAGCACTGAGGTCAAGAGACGCAAGACAAGGAGGCAGACCACTGTGGACAACAGCGCTCTCTAGTGTTAGCAAACAGAGTAGGAACTAAAGAATAAATAGAGTCCAGGCACAATGCATATGAGTAGGTGTGTGAGGCGATATGAGACGGTGAATAGCAAATTGAATGCTAACTATAACAGCTAGGAGAGACTAAAATTATTTTACAGGTTCTTTTTTAATACAAAAGGAAGCTCAGTGAAATTAATGTCATGCAAACTAGCAACTGATGGGAATTCCTTGCTGCTTCCTGTATCTAATCTGTGGTCACGTGATTTCAGATATTTGCATCGCTCACCGTAAAACAGGATATTACATTTTTGGCTCAGACGGTCAGCACAGAGATAAACGCACAATTGGAAACCTGCAGGTTTTTGTGATAAGGGTGCAGAGAATAAGGGATCTCACCTGGTACGATCTCAAACAGGTGCCTTCCTGGTTCGTCTGGATTAGCTGTGAGTTCATTGACCAGGCATCCCTGCAGTGGTATACAGCCCTGAAACGCACAGGAAGAAGCTTTCAAATAGTTTCCCACCACAGAAGCATCGATTTCCTTTGTCTTTTCTCCACTTTCACTAGTTTCTCGACTTTTTACTTATATTTTACTGTAACTTTCCAGAAAACTGGCTAAAGAAAGAAAGAAAGAAAGACAAATGTGAGGAGCTGGGCACACTGAGATAAACACTTGTGGTTTGGAGTGACCGTGACCTACAACATGACCTGTGATGGATGTCAATTTCCTGGCTTCTGTGACGTAACACTCGGTCAGTTGGTAGTTTATGAAAATCTTATTTTAACAGGTAACCTTATCCATGGCAAATGTTTAGGATGCAAATGAGTCCAAGCCTGTGATAAAATCTGTTTTTGTGCCCCACTTGACTCACTGCAGTGGCGACACCCTCTCTCTCTGTTTTCAGTCACCTCTGCCAACGTGTTATCACAGCTTACAAATAGTTTGCTTGTGGTCTCTATTCCTAACTAAACTCTGAGTTATTCTGGCAGGATATGGTGGAAACTCCAGGCTAATTTTAAGATCGTTTGACAGACAGGTACAGTTAGTACCTGCGTAACCCTCTGAGGTCTAAACCCAAACCTGTGTCATGTTTTCAAGGGTTATGGTTTAACTCTGTTAGGTCTAAGTCATCATTGATGATCTTTTTAAGCTGAAATTTGGCACGCCATTTGGAATGATATTAAGACTTAGGGTACTCCCATTAGGCAATCCAAAGTGTGGCCAAGCATGCTGGACCAACAGTGCCTGATTCTTTTGGGATTGCTGCAAATTGTGCTCGGGCAAGTGTGCCATGCCCTGACCTGCTCAAAGAGCAAGGATCAATCCCTGGCTGATTGATCTGGAGTGATTGACCATGTAAAATGAAAGGATGAAATGAATGAAATGAAAGGATCTCCAGTCCAGTGTTAATAACCAACTCTGCAAACCTGAGGACTGGGTGTGACTGATTCCAAAAGCAGCCCCAAATGAGCCACAAAATAGCGCACAGATTTACTCGGATTCTGCAAGATTGCCTGTTTTTGCCATCGTAATGAAATGTGTGCGTTAGAGGCTTGAGTCTGACTTAGTTGCCTATTTTCACCCCCCCCCCCTCCCCCACCTCCTGTTTCCTCCCTCCTTATTACTCACCTCTTAGCCCCTCTAAAATTTTAAGCAGCTACTCCTGTGATTGAACAGGGACCCACACAGATTATCAGAATACATTATCCAGATCAATACCCATTTAGCCCAGAGAACTTAGGGCCAAGTGAGCTGTGAAGAGATGCCAGCGTCTGTAGGTCGGCCCCGTTAATCTCCACACTGGCATCCTCCATCAAACAGGCAGAAGAGTCTGCCAAACAGCCTCAGCCTGAGGGCCGGGCTGTCGCCAGCATTAGTCGCCATGGCAACAAATGGAAAGGGGTGGAAGCTGTGGATGGATAGAGCACAGGGGCAGGGCAGGATGGGTGTCCCAAGGGTGCTATGTGCTCAGAATAACACAAGTAGCTGGCTGGGGATGAATGACTAAGAAAAGGCAACACGTAACCCGAGAACACAAATCACGCAGAAAAGTAGGCTAGATAGCACTGTTTGTCCTTCCCTGCATTTTAACCAATGATACGGGAACTGTGCGCACATGTAAGGGCTTCAAAGCAGCTGCAAACAGATGCGGCCACGCCTACTTTAACCTCGTTTGTACACGAATGCCAGTCAGTTATTCTTCTAGCCTGGCCTCTCGAGGTTTGTTCACACTTTTATCTCACGTTGGCAACAGTGCAACATGAACAGCTAGCGCATTGTTACTCATGGACATTACGCAGTGCTGTTGATCGGTACCGTGTGCCTAGATCTGAACCTGAAGCACCCCAGACTCGTCCTGTTTGGCACGTGCCATGCCCAGGTCTATAAACACACGCCTCTTAAAAGTAATCAGTGCCAGAAATGGACGTAAAGCAAGAAACGAAGGAGCAGTAAAGAATTACTGGAACAGAAAGCCATGTACAATGCTGATGCTGCCAAGGTTTCGAAGCACCATAATGTCAGGCTGAAAAAATCTAAAATCATATGAAAGAAGTAAGTGATGGGGTTGGGCATAAATCAAATCAAAACAAAACCAAATATAAACTTTAAGTTTAAGCTCTTTTTAAGCTTTTTTTGTTTATTTTGTCAAAGGTTTTGTGTATTACAACCAGAGTCATGGTTGTGTGATGGTGGTGCCCTTTGTGTACCGCCAGATAACTGGACTCTGTTTGTTCAGCAGTGTATTCCACCCCCCCAGACCAACACACACGATGAAAAGGAAAAGAAAACCCCCATAGATCCTCATCCAGCGCTGCCTTTCCTGCTACCAATTATCACATCCTTTCATCTTGATAGTGGGGCAGTCATGTTCTGTTCGCAGCAGCGCTCGGACTACACCCTCCCCACCCACGCCTCCACCCCCGACCACACTCCGGGCCTCGGGTTTCCTATCGATTAAGAGATGAGAGGGTTAAAAAAAAGGCCAGAATCACAGTTTCTCACACAACTCAGAGGGTGTGCACGCATGAGGGGGTTTGTGATGGTGTGTGTGTGGTGTGTGTGTGTGCGCGTGTGCAGTCAGCCACACACTACATGTGACTTGAATCCCTTGGAAGTTGCGAATCAATATGAGCTGGATGAGTATTGGCAAGCTCTGATTAAAGACTGTCATTTTTTCTCCTCAAAATTGGAGACAGAGAAGTGGGGAACACGTCATTGTGTGTGTGTGTGCGCATGCGCGTGCGCGTGCGTGCGCATCAGTCAATCACGAACCTTCCGTCTTTTATTGTTGGATTACATCGCTTCTTGTTGCATCTACAACTAAACCTATTAGCTTCACTGAATCTCCATCTAAAAGTCTTCGATATAAGTGTGTGTGTGTGTTTGTGTTTTGTAGGAATGCAGAGTGGGAAAATGTGAGTCAGCTGTTTGCCACAGGAGATGGCGTTCAACGAAGTAGCAATGGGATTGATTGGAGGTTTATTCTGTAGACAATTTTACAATGATGTACTAATGCAGTAGGAAGACAGGCGTCACACGCTGCCCTGCAGTTTGTACTAATGCACTGAAACGTCTGCTGAGTGTGGTGAGTTATCATTACAGCTGAGTGTTTTCATCTGACAGCAATAAAGCACACGCAGTATTACTGTTGGTAGCGGTCACTCATTGTTTTTAACTATGAGAACCATGAGGAGGCAGAATTGGAATTTGTTACTTACTTGCATGTAAATGTAAAAAAACGAGGTGTTTAGCAAATATAAATAATAATATTGGATAAATATAAGCTTTAAGAATGTGCCTTATTGCATTCTGCACTTTTATTAGTCATTGTTCAAGTTTTTAGGGATAAATAGTGATAAATGTTTTTTCTGCGTATCTTCCGTGTGTCTTTGATTTATTACTGTTAGTTTATTGCTTTATTCAAATGTAATCATTTGTAGTGGCAGTATCTGCCTAGTGCAGCTGCACAAGGTGCTCAAGAAGAAGTGATATTGATATATGTTGTTATATGTTGCATTTTTCCCACCCCTAAAGAAATGTTAAAAATCTGAAAACGAAATACTGAGCCACATTTGATGTTACCCACATATATGTGGGTAACAGACATCTCCAAAAACGCCGGAGCACTTTTGCAAATATGTGATGTCTTCATAAATCGAGCAGTTATTTGAAGTTTACACAGCTACATTTTTGTCTGAAAATATCTTAAAAGTTTATTTTGTGACCCAGAAAGAGTAACATTAAAACTAAGTAGCTGCCGCCATTGTTGGAAACTGGAATTGGCTGGGAATTATGGGATAGGTTGGGCCATGAAGAGTACACCCGACCCATCCTTCAAATTCAGAGAAATGAAGGACGCATTTGTTGGCCGCATTTGGAGCAGCCTTCGAATTGGGACAGCCTTCGTCGCCTGGCTGTGACTTAATCGGCCTTCAAGTGCGGCCTCTAAAGGATGCAGCCTATAAACTGGAACATACCTAAAGTATCTGAATTTCACGAGCGGGACCACAGCGGGACCACGCCTCCAAACATGCTCCTTCCAGATCTTATCTATATATGTTCCCCCACTTCTACAAGCTGTTAATTCTCATTTACGTGCCCCATCCTCCCTCCCCTTTTCAATTCTTTAACTTCTTCACTTCTATTTAGTACATGGGGATCTGCTAGGCCTCTCTATTGCCCCCAAGTAGCCAATAAATGGAATGAATGCATGTTTAAGGTGGGTTTAAGTCCAGTGCTCAACTGTAGAGTGACTTAAAACAAGCAGATTTCTCACAGATGGAAATTAGGATAATTTTTTCTTGAAGTAATGGCTCAACGTGCTGTTTGGCAAAACTGCAATCAGATCTAATGATACAGAAAAATGTTTGGGAACAAAGTCGTTTACAGAGATGACGTCAGAGGAAAACAGGGCTTGCTCGAGAGTACTTAGGGATCAACAAGAGTTTCTTTAATTAATGGGCAATCTGCTCTGCCACGTGAGCTGCTCATGCTTTGATTTGAAAGACCTAAATTAGTTTTTTCCCCTTCCCTCACTCAGACTGAACATCAGCTGCAGATTTGAAAGGCTTCAGATCAAATCATTTACATGAAGGTTTCTCATGTATTCAGCTGCACAGTAAACTCCATATGTTTGAGCTGCATGACTCAGCTGTCCCGTCCTCCAAAAGGAAGCTGCACCTCATTATGTAAATATAATCACGCCGGCCAAAGAGCAGTGCTCCAGCTTTTAATTTCGCCACCCTCTGACTGTTTTCCGTTGTGTGTGAACGTGGCTGAAATATTACCTGCGGTTTGGTTTCTTCCTCGTCTTTGTAGAAGTAGAGCTGGTCCGAGCGCAGCACGAACCAGCGCAGCTGCCAGTTCTTCATGATGCTGCGCTGCTTCTTCAGCCACCCCGCCTTCAGAGCCCCCTCGTGGAGGCTCGG